CCCCCCCCCACTCCATCTCTCCCATCCACACAACATTCGTCGTGATTCCAGCGAATGTAATCGAGAGCTCCAAAGTGTGGCATCCAAGCAGTTCCCCACTAAAACACTCACCAATGATGCAGTCGAGGCGTGGCGGGTCGGTTGTGGTTCCTCAGCTTGAGGAGGGTCGGGGACGGGAGACATAACCTCTTCGGCTCCACCACGGCGCTTCTCCATCTCCGCGCAAGCAGCGAAGATTGCAGGTTGCACTGATATTATCGTTTGCGTAGCACCAGAATCACCGCCGGACTATCAGCAATCACAACAAAGTCTAGCGACTTCACACGCGGTAAAGAGATTCGACGCCACTAACCCCCAGCGAAATCCCAGCGGTTGGAAACACAAAGAAACCGACGCCAACGCAAATCAGGCACCAACACGCTCACGCAGCGAACTTCCGTCCGGTCCGGTGCGATGAAGCCGACGAGCGCTATTCGCACGACGCAGTGAGTAGTTCGGGTTCGGAGCGGTCGCAGCCGTGCAGACGACGCGAGAGAGAGTGAGAAGGAGACTGCGCGCCGCGTTTGCTTAAAGTTTATACACGCAGGGTAAAAGTTTTGACACAAAAATGCAAGTGCACTCTTGAACGTGACATCGGATTACCGTCATAAAAATCCTCAAGTAGTGCGTCGTCGCGAGTTTGTGCAACGCCAAGGCCGAGCCGAGGTGGCCGGGCGGGGAGTTTTGAAGGTTATGTCTGCAGCCGACCTCGACCTTCCTCAACAGGAACCAGGGGACCTACCTGGCCGGATGAGCACCTGCTCGTATGAAACTGGTGAGGTGAGTGTCATGTCTTCTTCTTGCTTTCTGTTTTGTTTTTTGAGGTGACCAAGGAGGGTGTTAACCGAGGGGTGCCTTACTACAGCCTCCAATCAGCGTACGCTCCTTCTCCAATCACTTTCCAATCAGTCTAATCACACATTTTCTGGATAAAATGGCCCACTTTCCCCCAAAACCTCTATCAAAAATAAACTTTTTCATCAGAAATTCATACAATTCTTTCCAATCACCAACGAGGCCTCCAATCAGTGTTCGCTCATTTTAGAAGTGAGGTACCTACTCGGTGTAAACCTGTGTCAACATCACAGCCTGTGGCAAACTTTGGGGAACTAAGATATTCTCTATTTCTTCTGTTAGGCCATGGTTAATTTGGTTGATTGTTTTTGGTAAATGCCAGTGAGTGTTCACCTCGTTATTAGTATAAGGGGAAATCAGCGTCAAAGAACACAGAGCTCTCTCACTACCGCATCGCCGTGACTTGGGTCGGGAAAGCTTTAGCTCGGGATTTAAAGTTTCTTTCCGGATTTTTCTTTTTCTTTTCCAAACCTCAAAAGAATCTCCGTCCCGTGGTGGCCGATAGGCGTCGCGCCGCCGCCGCCGACGGCGAAAATTCCAAGAAGGCAATTAGAAGCTTGGGGTCCCATCCAGGGCCTTTTGTCATGCTAAGTGCGCCGCGCCGCCGGACCGAGATTCGTTCATTACGAATCGCTTCGAGTGGCCGTGAAGTCGCCCCCCGGGAGCTCCGCGCGCGGAGCCGGCGGCCGCATTTAAATACCCCCCGCCAGTGTACACAGGTCTTATCCGCCTCTCGGAAAGACAATCGCCATCAGACGAACGGACTTGCCACTGTGGCCGCCCCCGCACCCCGCCCCCCTTT